TCTTATGTTTCTGAAATGAATATGTAATTTGATTTTTTAAATCCTTCAACCTGGAATTTCAGTTTTCTTGTATTTACCTTAAATTACAGTAGTTTTAAAGAGTTATCCTTTAGATGGACTTGTTATATTTATATTTATAGAAATTAAATTAGTTTAAAATTTTCTTTTATATTCAAATTATTTTAAATTTAAATTGTGGTTTTTTAATTATTTTATATTAGATAATAATAAATGAAACGAAAATTTTATTATAATTGATTTTTTTCAAAAATCATTATATTGTATATATTAATTTATTTAATAATATGACTTATCTCAATCATTAAGCTCAAATTTTAAATTTAAATTTTTGTCCTCTAACATTAGTCTTTCATATTAGTTACTATTCTTCAATTTAAAATAAATTAACTGCGATAAATAAAATTTTGGAGTTGATTGGTAGAGAAGACGGTATGGGGCAGGAAAAGTATCCCAGACGACGTCGGATAGAGGCCTGCACAAATGGTAAAGTTATTTCTCCCTTTCCTCCCTAACAGCGGCTCTCGTCTCTCCGCCACTGCACCACCGAGTATGGTTGTGCCACGTCAGCATCCAACCTGACGCAGGCAGCAGTTGGCTCGGTGATGGTAACAGAGCTTTGGAATATACTCAATAGCTTTATGCTGTGCTCGTTTCTGTACCTGTATCCGCCTGAAACTTGCACTTTGGCCAGGCCAAATCGAGCGTTTATAGGCGCCGCATCCTTGGATTCCGTGGAGGAGGCAAAGCAAGTGGTTGGCTATTGGAAGGTACAAAACTCGCTCGAGAAGGATAGTCGGGACTTTTATATCTCTAATCTCTCCCAATTCTTTATGGGTTTTTCCTCGCAATTTGCTTCTTTTTTTTTTTTAAGCAAACATTTTTCAACTTAGTATGAGTAGGATTTGATTATTCCTCTTACCTTGTAAATGTCAATTTGCAGACTATTGTTTTCATTATCTGCATTTTGTATAGTCTTTGACTATTTTCATATTGTTAAGGGATTTTGTTTGACATAGATGGCGGAAAATCAAGAAGTACTTGCAATTAAGAATGATAATAAAAAAAATTTATATATTTTTAATAACTATTAACATACAGTTTTAACATTTAAAATGTTAAAAATAGTATCTCGATCTCCTTTTTTTTTTTAACCAATTGAAAATAATAATAATAATAATAATAATAAAGTAAAATAACTAATTTTATACTTAAAATTGTTTGAAGTAGTTGTTTAAAAGCATCAAGATAACCAATGTCTCATGGTTCTTATTCTTTTGATTAATTCAAAGGGTGGACTGCTAATTGTACCAAACACTCAATTAGTCTTCCAAAAGGCAATAGCCTGTCTCTAATTCTTACTGCTTTACCAATTACTTAATGAATTGGCTCTTTAGCTTTCACAGCACCAGATTTATTATTTACTTATGACTTGCTTTTGAAAACGTTCGCTACTGTTTTCTTTTAACCATCCAGACAAATTTAACCCTTTAATTTTTTTTTTAAAGAAAATTAAACGCTTCTTAGTTGGCATTTCCCATCTTTAACTTGATTTATATTTTAACTTTTACTAAATGAGACAAAAAGACAAAAAAATAAATAAATAAATAAATAAAGAAGCAATTATAGCTACCAGGACGATCTATGAACATCTGAAGGGCAACAAAAAGAACAAAGGGAATTATTGACCATATTTTTATTAAAAGAAAATATATTTTTTTTTTGAAAGGCAAAATGAAATCATTGATTTGGAGTATAGGGGTACTCCATTAAAAGAAGATATATATTATTAAAAGAAGTACAAGAGAGACTTCAACTCAATATGACAGTGTGATAAATGAGTTAGAGATGCAAGGATGCAGAGTTAACTACAACATTCAATCAATCCATGTGTCCCAACTGCCAACTGTTTCCCTTTTTAAGACCTTGGTTTGCTAATTCAAAGGCTGCATAGTTCATTGATGTTTTTATCTAATCCAATACACTTCCTTGCTTGGGATGTTGTTTAAGAATCGCACCACCCTGTTGTTGAGAAAATTCAGGTTCTAGAAGACAAGTGGAGTTATTGAGTTTAATTAACTTAAAGTGTTGCACAGTGCACACCCCTACCTTAATGGTTAAAAAAGTGTAAACCGCCTTATGCAGACTTTACTTTTTATAATTAAGGTGAACCCTTTGATATTGGGAGTCCACTCCTCCATCAATGGTTAAATAAAATGCAGTCTGCAACAAGACAAATTGTAAACAGCATTTTTATTTTTAAAATAATAAAAATTGATGACGTTGCTTTTGCCACATTATTGTCTTAATTTTTCCTCCCCATATCTCATCCAGTATATCACTACCCTCCTTGATCTTTCCAACAAGCTATATTCTATCTCTAATTCTTTTGCTTTCTTTATCTTTTTTGTGGAAAATGGGAGATATATTCTTCAATTGTCTCTTTAGCTTTAAAAGCACCAGATTTAACAGTTATGTATGTCTTGCTTTACAAAACATTTTGTACTGTTTTCTTTGAATAGCCATCCAATCAAATAACCCTTTTAATTTTTGTTTTTCAATTTTAAATGATGTTGAAATCTTCTTTTCATCGGTGATTACATTCTTAGCTTAATAATTATGTTCAGACTAGGGAAGAATTTACTTTAATTAGCTTAAAGTGTTGCATATAGTAGGTTAGGCCTTGGCGACCAAGCATCTATGTGCTTCTTATGATTCTCTCTTTTTTAACAAATTGCAATTATTTACATGTATTAATTGGGAGATGAAGAAAAGAATTTCGTGAGATTCGAACATGCTACTCACAGAAAGTTAATAGTTCTAACGCAGGATCTATGCCACTGAGTCGGAGTAAGTCGTTCCTTATGATTCTCTTTTAAAGAATCCTACCACCCTGTTGTTGAGCAAATTCAGGTGCTAGAAGACAAGTGGATTTATTGAGTTAAATTAACTTAAAGTGATGCAGGCTCCTCTATCAATGGTTAAAAAAGTAAAGTCTAGTTTATCTTATGCAGGTTGCTTTTTTTCTAACCATTGATGAACAGGTGAACCCGTTGACATTGGGAGCTCACCCCTCTATCAATGGTTAAATAAAATGCAATCTGAAACAAAAAAAAAAACTGCAAATGGTATTTTTATTTTTAAAATTAACAAAAATTGATGACGTTGCTTTGCCACATACCTGTCTTAATTTTTCCTCCCTGCATCTCACCCCGTGTATCATTACTCTCCTTGATCTTTCCAACAAGCTATGGTCTATCTCTAATTCATTCTGATTTCTTTATCTTTTTTGTGGAAATCGGTGATACATTCTTCAATTGGCTCTTTAGCTTTAAGAGCACCAGATTTAACAATTATGTCTTGCTTTACAAAACATTTTGTATTGTTTCCTTTGAATAGCCATCCAAACAAATAACCATTTTAATTTTTGTTTTTAAATTTTAAATGGTGTTGAAAGTTTTCTTTTGTATCTGTACTTACATTCTTAGCTTAACTAATTATGTTCAAACTGGTGAAGATCAATTTACTTTAGTTAGCTTAAAGTGTTTGCACATAGGAGGTTAGGCCTTGGAGACCAAGTTTCTATGTGCTTCTTGTGATTCTCTTTTATACTATTGGACTAGGAACCAGGAAGGCTTCAACATATATAAATGTTAAATTAGCAAATCTTCATCTTCTTTAAACAACACTAATCATCAGCAATGCTGCTCACAAGTAAGTGTTTCCTGCATTATCATCTCCATGTTAAAACTACGTTCTTTTGGTACATTAATCAATATATTCTTGCATTTTGCATTACTTAATTTGGTTCCATGCACAACCATGGCTTCATCAGTGCCAACGTCTTTTCTCTTTTTTGTTTCATGTTTAGCTGCCTGGTACGTAATATATATCTTAGAGATGAATTCATCTAATTATTTTTTGAGTTGATATTTGGAAGTCATCTGGAGATTTTGTACATTGAGATTTGGACCTATAATTACCTCATAGGCTAAAGAATAGAGTGATTACATTCTTTTAATGATTGTTAACTATATAGTTAGCAGATAAACTAGGTCCCTATTTCTACATTTCCCGTTTTTACCAATTATATGCACGAACATGTTCTTTTTTTGCCAGTTGCCAGTGCTTTCTTCTTCACAGAGATAAAAAATGGAGCCTTCACGAAATTGTTCTCCGGATTAGTCCAAAAACTGTGGGTCAAATGGGAGCTCGAAGGAATGGTCGTACTCAGCCTGCTTCTCCAGTTTGTACTTCTTTTGGTTGGCTATTGTCGAAAAAAGCAAGGCAAATGCTCTCATTATGTTGCTATCTTTGCTTGGTTTTCATACGTAGCGGCAGACTGGGTAACCACTGTTGCCTTAAGTGCCCTCCTCAAGGCCAAAGTGAAGGAGCTAACCAACGAACTGGTTGTGTTTTGGACGCCATTCTTGCTCTTGCACCTCGGCGGCCCATCTACCATCAGTGCCTACGCCTTAACAGACAACGAGCTTTGGTTGAGGTACTTTCTTGGCCTCGTTATCCAAGTTGGGGTGGCTATTTATGCCTATGTAAAGTTTGGGACAAATAACGCACTCAGATACAGCGCCATCCCGATATTCATTGCGGGGATCATCAAGTATGGAGAAAGGATTTGGATTCTCAGGGATGCAAGCTACAAGCAATTTAGCAGTTCTGCTTTCTTATCCACCGGTGGCAACACACTTGATACTATTCAAACTAGTGCTTTGACGAGCAATCATCGTCCTCAGACGTTCGATGAGTTTTTAAGAGACAAAAATGTTATGGAAGAAGGCAAATCTTTCCATAAAGCTTATTATCTATACAAGATGTACATACCTCTCTTCTCAGAGCTCAGGCTTAGGATTTATAGAAATTTACGAGACAACTTCATGCTCTCCCACACCATATCCGCAGAAGATGCCTTCAAAATTGTACAAATTGAGCTAGGGTTCTTGTATGATAAGCTCTACACCAAGAGTACTGTACTGCAATCTGTAAAAGGAGTAATCCTCCAGAGTATCTGCTTGTTGTCAACTTTTGCAGCAGTGATTACCTTCTCTATCACAGTTAGTAATTATGATTATCCGTGGGACGACATTTGCATAAGTTACTTGCTGTTGGGTGGAGCAATCTTTGTGGACATTTATTCAACTATTGCACACGCTTTGTCTGATTGGACAATGTGCCACTTATCCATTCCAAGCAACTCGGTGCATAAGTTTTTGGGTTGCTCAATTGCTTCCTGGCTAGTTCATTGTAAGGCCAGAAAGAAGGGAATAACATCTATGGCACAACACAGTCTGATAGATTATTGCTTCAAGGTCAAGACATCTTGGTGGAGTTCAATTTTGAGTATACTTGACATTGAAGACTTTTGGGGGAAGTTTTGCTACACTTCTTGGGTAAAGGTGAATCCAAGTCTGAAGAACTTCATCCACTCGCATCTTCAAGAGAAGTTCAAGCGGTATCAAAACATTAAAGATGAGGCGCCAAGAGAGAAAATTGATAAAAAATATGGGGAATTTGACTATGAGTTGCTCACAACCATGTTGAAGGAGAGGGGTGATCATGTGCTTCAAGGCAAAGGAATTGTTTTTAAGGATGAGTTCAAATGGAGCATTAATGATGTAGAATTCAGCCACAGCATTCTTTTGTGGCATATTGCAACGTTTCTTCTCTTCTACGATGATCGTAGAAGATATTCTAGCAGCGTTCTGGGTTTATATTGCCAAATTAGCAAGCTGTTATCAGATTATATGATGTATCTCCTCCTGGCGCGGCCGCTCATGCTTCCTAAAGGGATTGGTCAAGTGAGGATAAGAGATACTCAAGAGGAGATGATAAGATTCTTTGGCCACGTGAAGTCACTAAATAACAATGATGTTGCCAGCGCTTTGCTTCACAGGCAAAACGAATTTCCACCCTCACTAATTCATAGCAAGTCAGTTTTGAAGGATGGCTGTAAGCTGGCGTCTATGTTGAAGGCATTGGTGGAGGAACTGCTGTGGGATCCTGAAGAAAAATGGGAGATGATAGCAAATGTGTGGATGGAAATGCTGGTATTTGCTGCAAGCAAATGCAGATGGAAACATCATGAAACGCACCTTAGGCATGGTGGGGAGTTGCTTACCCACGTAGCACTTCTTATGGAACATCTTGGCCTAACCGAAAACATCCGAATTGTGCAACAGCTAAGTGCTGAGGGGCAACCTTTGAAGTGGGACTGGGAACAGCATCCTCAAATGTCTTATTACCTTGCATAAGATTATCTTTTCAAAGACACAATACCTTATTAAGAGGCTGTTTTAGTTACTTAAAAGTTGTTTATAAGAGTGTTGTTTGATCACACAACTTCTCAAGAGACTTGTATTATGAGATTATATAGAATAGTACTAAGATATGAATTTGCTATAATAATTTTCTTTTTTCTTTAAGTTAGTTTCCAAATTGGATGAGATTAATTAATACCCTTAGCACTTCAATGTGTGTTCCAATCACGTATGAAATCATTCATATATGCCTTAGTATTATGTTTCATGATGAAACAGGATTAGACTTGTATACAAAATAAAAACCGGAGTGAATATTGAAGAGCCAGAGTCCAATCACCTGTTAGACTAGGCAGAAGATTCAGTGTCGTTTCCTCCCGTACTTCTTGGATGATCCGATCCGTACAGCTACGGCGATGGATGGCCAGAATTGGAATTGAGACGAGCTGATCTGATTAACAGCTACTACCGTAAATGGCACTGCAGATGTGGCTGTTGTTGGTGGGGTACCTACAAATGCGGTTGTTTCTAATCAACCATCCTAACCATCCTCTAGATTCTTGCTCAAGAGCCAACCTGAGAAGATGGTAATGGTTTAAAACAAGTGTATTCCGCACAAGATGAACTAAATACTGCATTCTCATTTTTAAAATAATAAAAATTGTAAACGTTGCTTTACCACGTTGTTCATCTTAATTTTTCCTCCGTGTATCATTACCCTCCTTGGTCTTTCCAACAAGCAATCTAGTCTATCTCTAGTTCATTTTGCTTTCTTTATCTGTTTTGTGGAAAGGGGTGATACATTCTCGAATTGGTCCTTAAGCTTTAATTAAGCTTTAAAGGCACCAGATTTAACAGTTATGTATGTCTTGCTTTACAAAACATTTTGCACTGTTTTCTTTCAATAGCCAAACAGACAAATTAACCCTTTTAATTTTTTTAATAAAATTTTAAATGATGTTCTATTCTAACTCTTCCTTTGTACCTGTAGTTACATTCTTAGCTTTACTACTTATGTTCAAACAGGGGAAGAATTTACTTTAATTAGCTTTAAGTGTTGCACACAGGAGTTTGGGACTTGGAGGCTAAGTATCCATGTGCTTTTCTTGATTCTCTTTTATAATATTGCACTAGGAAGGCATCAACATATATAAATGTTAAATTAGTTAATCTTCAACTTCGTTAAACTACATAAATCATCAACAAGGCTGCTTACAAGTAGTGTTTTCCTGCTTTATCATCTCCATTTTAAATGACATTCTTTTGGTATATTAATCATTATGTTCTTGCGTTACATAATTTGTTTCCACAACTATGGTTAGATTTATATTCATCTAACATTAGAGGCAATATTTTTTGCCCTGTTTTGCATTCAGGTAATTTATCTTCTGGATTCC